GCTGGAAAGCCTTTGAGCCAGAACTTCAAAATGGAGTATAACAGGAGCTTGCATAGAGGGACCAGAAAATCAACGTGGAACCGCCTTACATGATGATGAGGATCAGGTGAGATTGGGTTTAGGGTTAAACAGTGGTTTAAGGCTTTTGTTAGTCCTGGTTCCCTGTGAAGTGTCTCTACTTTCAGAATCCTAGTATACTTGCGGGGATTAGAGGGTGGCACATGGACTACAATCTAAACTCCCAGTATCCCCCCTTAATAACCCCTATAATACTCACCCATATAATCCCCTGTATAATCCCCATTTAAGGAGTTTAGACTATAGCTCATATGGACTAGTTAGTAGAAGCCCACTACAACACGGCAACATGGACGCAACACGAAGGCCAACCTTGCTGTTAGGGTTTAGGGGTTCAGGGTTTAACGGTTTAGTGTTTAGGGTTTAGTTGTTAGAATTTCAATTTCAAGGAGTCAGGGAACCACCAGTTCGGGGGATTTGGGTTTGGGGTTCAAGGTTTAGGTTTTAGGGTTTCAAGGAGTCAAGGAACCACTATTCTTTGAGAAATGGTTTAGGGTTTCAGTGTTTAGGGTTGAGGGTTAAGGGTTTAGGGAGTGTATCTTGAGTCTGCTGTTCTCAATGGAAGCACAACAACTAAGGTTGCAATGGCTACCCTATTTATGCCCAAGACTTCAACTACGCATGTGGATGTCATATTCCCTAAACCCTGAACCCTAAACCCTAACCCCTAAACCCCCGTCATATAAGCCGTAATAAGGACCTCCAGAATCCCCTTGTCATCCCTATGTATCCCTGGTGTCCCTCGGGGCCGCTCTTTTTGGGAAATTATCCTATGATTCCTCATATAATCCCCAACAATATTATCCCGGTGTCCAGTTCATTTTCCACTTCCTTTCCATTCCATTCTCCACTATGGTAACTTCTATTTTTTCATGTACTCCCTAGACCCTCAACCCAGCTGGGGCTAGCGCAGCGCGTCTCGTTAGCCTCTGCCTCTGCAAGGCTAACCTTGAAGATTGACCGATGTCCGGGAAAGGATTGCGCCTGTCAAGCAGGAACGCTTTGGGGTGCAGTGTTTAGGATTTGGAGTTTCGGAGGTTTAGGAGGGTTTAGCAGGGTTAGGGGTTTAGGGTTGCCTACGGGGTCCATAGTAGTTCTGAGGATGACAGACAGAACTCCTAGACCCCAAACCCTGCGAATAAACCATATGATGCACTTCCTGGTAGTGAGCATGAACATGCCAAAGTTGCTTGGAGGTCCATGGGTAATAACTACCCGTGCACAATTGTACTTTTAACCTTATTACAGCCTTACTGAGCTCATATCTGGGTTATACAAGTATGAGTAGGTGATGTAGTCCCCCTTAAGTAGATAGAATGTGCGGTATATGGGGATCTTGTTATAGTATATCCAAAAACATATTCTATATACTTAAGGGGGACTATAACTGCCAAGCAAGTCTTTTGCCTAAATATAGACCACAAGGTGAGGCCACTGTACTGCTCAACGTCTCTGCAGTATAACTACCCCTGGACCTCCAAGTAGGAAAGCTTGAAGCAGCCTCCTTTTCCAAGCAAGCTGAATCCTGCTCGTCATGTCTGGGTGAAACTCGCTTGACTTGTTGACGGAGGAGGCAGTAGCGATATGAAGACTTGGCAGATCTTAAAAAAAGATCGTCTAAGCTGCGTTGTCGCAAATCAGCCCCCTCACAATCTCCCTAAATCTCGAAGACTCTTTTGGGGTTTAGGGTTTAGAGCCTAGGTTGCCTCTACCTTATCAATCTACTGATCCTCCGCATCTTCATCTGCATCCTCCTCCTCATCCTCTTCTGAGTCGTCCTCATCACCTTCGGTTCCTTCTGCCATCTCGCCTGCCTCACCGTCCTCAAGGCTGATAGGAGCTTGTAAACGGATCGTGGAGATAAGAGCGAGGGAAAAATCATGGTAATGATGATAGAACCCGGAAGTAGTGGTACCCTGGCACGGAGACAACGGTAATGGAACCGGAAATAATCTTAGACCCCTAACCCAAAGATGTAGCTGCACAAAAGAGCAGATAGCAGTTCATTCCCGCCTCTGCCACCAAGAACAGCAAACAGACCCAAGCGAAGCCCCAGCTCCAACCTTAAAACCCCACATCCCAAATCCTAAACCCTAAACCCTATTCCTGAACCCGATGCCCGAAACTCCTAAACCCTCAAACTAAACCCCCCTAAATCCCAAGTACTCCTCCTCCTCCTCTTCCTCCTCCGCTTCTTCCTCCTCGGTCTCCCTGGCCACAGCCTCTTGCAACGCCTCCACCTGAAAACTGGGGCTTGGGATCTAGGCTGAAAGTTTAGGGTTTAAGGTTTAGGTTTGGGGGGGTCCAAAACCAGGGTACCCTTTAGAGGGGTTATAGGCGTTACATAGGAACCTATAGAGTGTAAGGCTTAGGGTCCCGTCTTGGGAGTTGATAGGATAAGGAGTATAATACATGGGGGCGCATGAATAGATGCATGGATATGTGCCAAAAATCGGAGCATCGAGCCAGTGCGGGGTTCGTCCTAAGGACTTTGTTGTGTACGACCCTGCGGCTCTTTTCGTGCCAAAACTTCTAGGGCTTACCCTAAACCCTAAATCCATAAATCCTAAATCCCTAAACGCTAAACCCAAACCATTATGGCTTGGGTTTTAACGCGTCTGGTGTTTGCAGTCAGATTTTGGACCTCAGGCTTCGAGTTGGTCTGTTGCATCCCCTTGTCAACGATCCAGGCAATAAGACTTGTGATTTCCTGTACCTTAAACCCGGGGAAGTATGTGATTGGTTCCGCGCGCTGTGACGCATGTGGCCGTATATTCACGAATAGAAGGATCCCCACTACTCAAATTGAGTTACCAAGATGTAGATACATTGTAAATGACGAAGGGGTCCTTCAGATGGTAACATAAGTCAAGTCCCTTCAGTCCCTATGTAGCCACTGTCTAACCCCAGCGGCCATTCCGTGTTCCGCTTTCTTTTCCATTTGCGTCTCCACTATACTGATCCCTAAGTTCCTTAGCAGCAACCCATACCCAAAAACCCTAAACCCAAACCCTAAACCCTAAACCAATTAACACAAAGAGGCCGACCTTGTCCATACAAGAGAGAAGCTCAGACACTTCCGAGCGAGAGAACTTGCCATCGTGGTCATGGTCGAACTCCAGAAAAGCAGCTTGGTGCTGTTCTGTCACATCAGAGTCCTGCCGACAAAGAGGCTCAAACTGAAATGCAAGCTACAAACTAAACTCCATTTACAAACCGCTAGATCACCACTTTGTCTTCAAGGCGCCAAGGTGACGGCCCCTAATTGATCCTTGATGTTCCGGGGCTCCTGTCTATCCAAAATTAGGGGTACCTTCTTGGGAGTTTATGAAGGTCATATAGGGGTATATGGGGATATGTAGGATTTGTAGGGCTTAGAACCAAAAGTAGGAGTATTATTTCGGGGGTTCGAGGAAACGGATGAAAACATTTTGGGGTCTATATTGGGGTCCCGGGGTCCCCCTATTGTGGGAAAGGACCAGCCTTACCAAAAGCACGGGTACGCTAAAATACCGTCTACCATCGTCATTCTCGGCCCAAAAGAAACACCCTTAATTTCAGGCAGCCCATATGTTTTTTCCATCTGGTTCTTCAGTCCAGTGTCCATAACTTCAGAACATCAACCGTACACCTTAATCCCTAAACCCCTAAATCATTAACCCCTAACTCATTAAACCCTCAAACCCCTAAATCCCTAAATCCCTAAACCCCAAACCCCTAAACTAAGAGAGTGGTCGCTACCGTCGACCAACGCTTGGCCGAGGGCCTCACAACCCGAGCGCCCATACAAAAAGAGAGACAAAAGGTGAGGGTAAAGCCTCACCGTCTGACCTGGACAGGCCAACAAGGAGTAGCCTTGTTTACGACAACGTCAGAACTCCTATAGTTGACGTCGGTAAAGACTAACCCCAAAGCTTGCGGCATTTGTCCTGGACGGCCTGTTTAGAGTTTGGGCATCCTTTCAAGGGGCCCTGAGCGAGGTCCTGGACCCCAGGGCCTCCTTTGCCGGCAGATTTCTTGCACAAGGGATTGAGAGCCTGCTCTAGGACGTCTGAGGCTTGAGGGGCGCTTAACCGCCCGGTACCATGGACTCCCAAAGACAAACCCAAACCTTGCACTCGTATAGTCTGGACAGCTCCAACTGGTGCAAGGCTCGAAGACCTCCAGGCAAGGCTCAATCTCAATAAGCACAAGAAGCCTCGAGCCGGACCCAGCCCAAAACTTGCACCCGCCTGGTCCGGACAGGTGCAAACAAAAAAAAAGAAGCCAGGAGCGCGATCAGAGTTCAAGAGAACCCAAAACCAATAAAGATCGAGGCAAGGGTGGAGCGCCAGCGAGGGTGAACTCATGCAGGTCAGGGTGCGTGCCTGGGTGCTTCCAGCACCAGCGCACCCCCTCACTGAGACACCCTAAACCCTAAACCCTAAACCCTAAATTCCTAAATCCCTAACCCAAAATGGCAGGTGCAGAAGCGTCCCTTGCCTGGCCCTCTTCATCGAGAAACCGGTACCAAAGCCAAGACCTTGGTTTGTTCTGGGCTTGAGGGTTAGGGTTTAGGGTTTAGGGTTTAGGGTTTAGGTTTTAGAGTTTAGAGTTTAGGGTCTAGGGTCTAGGGTCTAGGGTCTAGGGTTTAGGGTCTGGGTTGGGGATAATTGGGAACCCTGCATTGAAAGTTACTCTACCCTACATGAGGGCATTCTACGGACTCCCTTGGCTGCAGAAGGCCGCATCAAGACCTGTACTGTACTCATCTGAGCTATAGTCTAAACTCCTAGTATCCCCCTTTAATCGGCCCTATAATACCCCGCTTTAAAATCCTCTATACCCCCTTTCAGGAGTTTGGACCCTTAACCCTATGTCCCCCCTTTAAGGAGTTTGGACTCTAGCTCATTTAGAGCCATCATTCCACTCACGCTCCTAATCCTCTCCTAAGCCCTAAACCCTAAACCCCCAGCCCCAGGCTTCCCAGTTTGCTGATTTGGGTTTGGGGATACTATGGTACCCCAGTAATGGAGAATCAAATGGAAAAGAACATGGAAAATGAAATGGAAGCTGGGGTTATATAGGGGTTATATTGGGGATATCGTGTTTTATTTGGGGTTAGGGGGAAATAGGGGGCTATATAGGAATGATGGAAAATAGCATACAAACTACTATTTAGGGTTTAGGGTCGAGACATTGCCCCGTGCTCCGGATCCTGATGCCACAACACAGGGGAATGAATAAACAAGGAAGTAGATGTGTGGATGGACTTGCAGAGCTTTCAGGGCCAGACTCGCTGTGGTTGAGCCGGTCATCCCTGGTCGGAATGTAGGTATGCGCCAAGGTGAACAACATGAAGCTGAGGATCCCAGAAATGAGGGTCTGCAGGAAACCTCCTTGTGGGTGGACTTGGATCATCAACGCGTGATTCTTGCATTTTGTGCTTTGGGGAACATCCAGGCGCCTGTCTTGGTCGAAATTGACGAACGTCGCCTGCACGCAACATGCGGCACACATCATGTCGCAAGATGTGTTTTCCCGTTATGGTAACCAATCTTAGCACTCTTTCTTAATGCTGGCTGGCTTTCGCATAAAGCTGCCGTTCTAATTGATGGCCTTTCTCATCAACGCCTCTACTCTTATTCTACTACACATGTCCCGTTGTAAGCTGGCAACACTCGGCTTGTGGGCCTCCCGAACGACACCTCTCCTCCGCACTCATACCAAAGTCCTGTGGCAACTCTCTAAGTACAGGCACGAGCCTATCACGTCACTCTAGGCACTACACCTCTGGACCCTAGTCTCTCGATCCTAGCCCCTAAACCCTAAGTCCCAATCCCTCATCCTGAATTCTAAACCCTGACTCCTGAAACGACAAATCCCAACGCAAAAGCCCTAACGACTAAACTCCCGAAATCCAAGCCAGTAAACTCCATTTCATGCTCCATCTCACTTTCCATTCGAATCTTCATTATTGGGGTATGCCTTATGTCATCCCTATTTGACCCTGTATACCCCGAAACTCTAAACCCCAAGCCTTATGCCCGAAACCTCAAATCCTAAGCCTTAAACCCTAAATGGGGGTTTCCCAAAACTAGGGGTACCTTTTTAGGGGGCCCAATAATAAACTATAGTATACTGGGGTCTATATTGGGGTACCCTAATTTTGGGAAACTACCAAATCTCAAACACGAGTTAACACTAGCTCCAAGCCTCGAGCTCCCGCTCTCTGTTTATCTCCGCCTAACAACAGCTTAGGGGCTTAGGGTTTAGGGGTTTAGGGTTCAGGGTTTAGGGTTTAGGATTTTTTTCTCAACATTGACGGCTCTTGGGTGCCCTGGTTTAGGGTTCGGGGCTGTGGGCTTAGG